TTTCTGTGACCTATGAGCTGAAATCCTGTGCCTAAATTATTCGAGTCGGGCCGGCAAGGGCCTGGACGATTAGATAACGAACCACGGTAGTCTGTTCGGGGATTTTTGGGTATTGAGACCCTTGATTCCGGTATACTCGAGTATTACCATTTCTGTCCGATTACGGTGAGCGGGTCCGGTAAAGGGGTGTTTGGTGGACGGAATTCGGTGTAAAGAGGGGTCTACGGACGCGTTGGTTCTACATACGTTGACGGAGAGTCAACCGGTTTGGATCAAGTACTGCGCTGGAAATTTGGCTCCTGAGAGCCACCCATATCCTTCTGATTTGAATCATTGGTTCCTTTGCTTTACATCTGGCATGTGTACTTGAGTTGCTAAACGTGAAATGCCATGATTTTATTGCTATCTGTTTGGTACCTCATTGAGCGCAAGCTCACCCCTTTCTGTTCCTTTTGTTTTCCTTACAGGAAAATAAACACTTTTGGTCTGGATTTGACAAATGGCTGCCAAATTGAGCTAGTTGAAGATATCTTTTGTATAGCTCATGTATTAAAATCCTAAATGTACTTTTAGGGACTGTTTCCTTTTGATTTTGCAAACTAGACGTGTATCCACTTTTGAATACTTTTGTATGCCACTTTGGCTTGTAAAAGCTAAGTTTCAAGATGTGAATGTTTGCTTGGTATTTGGTTGGGTTCTGACGGGTCGGTTACTATTCATGGCCGACTCCGGATTTCATTTTATTTTGTTTTGGGTTATTTTACTATTTTGATTTGTTTACGCGCGTTTGTAAGTTCCGGAATGAAACAGATAGCTCTAATCTATTCCGTTAGTCCTGGCGAGAGCTAGGCAGGCGGTCCGCCGAACCCTTTGGTTCGCCTTAGGATAAGGTGGGGCTGTCACACACTCCCTTAGTGTATCACTCGCTCTCGTGTGTATCACTCAAGACACTCTTTAAAGATCTTAACCCAATGCCTTTACCTGTCGGTTTAGGTAGGTGAGAAATGCTGCTCGAGCACAATAATCGTCACCGATGTTTTCTACAAGAGTAATCAAGAGTGTAAACCACAAATGAGGGTGGAAAATGAGGTGAAATGGATGAATTTGGAAGGGGCATTGGTGGTGGTCAACAATGGTATGTGCGTCACAAAGAAAAGGCTACCCTAGCTTTCTAAAGTGTAGGAGTAGTTTCCTAAAGTGGATGAGAGAATACAGGAGAGTTTCCTAGAATGGATGAGAGAATATAGGAAAGTTTCCTAAAATGGATGAGAGAATATAGGAAAGTCTCCTAAAAATGAATGAGAGAATATAGGAAAGTTTCTTAGAATGGATGAGAGAATATAGGAAAGTGTCCAAGTGAGAACAAGAGTTACCCAAGCTATCTACTTTAGTTTCCTAATTGAGTTTGGAAAACAAGTTAGTATTGGGAACTTCCTTAGAACACCCTTTTCCTCTATTGAACAACCTTTGGAACTTCCCAAATCCCAATCCTAGTTGGATTCCTCTTGCAATTTTCGGTCCTCCGTCTCAAAACCCTCAACCCTAGGTTGCTTATTTAATTCCCTACCCAAGCCATCACCTTCACATGCCCACAATTAGTTCGGCCTTGAATTTTCAAGACACAAGGTAATTCGGATTTTTCTGGTTTGAAGGCTTAAACAATTCGGCTATGGGGTCTAAACAAGATGATGTGATGCGAACGACACCAACCGTGTGATGCAACCCGTACAGACAGGAAGGATGTAGAAGGTAGGATTCACGTTGGAGACGACGAACGCAGCAGATAACCTAAACCCGTTAATCACGTGGTCAACGAACCTCGGTATTTGGTAGAGGACGCCACAATCTAGCGCGGTCCTAGATTGATAAGTCGATTGAATACCTAAAAATGAATCTAAGATATTCAATGGATGTTTCAAAGCAGCTTTGAGAGAACTCTCAATGTAATTTTATTAATTTTCAAAAGGTGAATGTAACATCCGATTTGTGGCTATTTAAAGCCGTGACTAAGACCTAATAAAACTGGAAAAATAACAAGGAGAGCTCGACCAGCCCCTTGGGCCTTCAGTTGGCCGAAAACTAGCCCAACTAACTATAGACTGAAAACTAGCCCTCCAGTTGGCCGGACCCCCAAGCCGGGGCGTGTCGCCCCCTGGACCCCCGACTCGCTGATCGGGCAGCGAGACCCCCGTACAGCTCAGCGTAGGAACTAACTACGTGGCCCACATGGTGTAGCCCATTGACTCAAGGACTAACAACGACGAAGGTCCAAACCACAAGCTAGTTGGACCTCTTTATTACACTCTACTACACTGATAATGGGCCATGGGCCCTTAGCCAAGTCATGGTCATCTAATCCTCATAGATGGCTGAAAGTAGAATAACATCTCTCGCTTCGTTGAGGCCCTCAATGGCCTTTGGTTCTCCACTGGACTCTCGAGCCGCACGAACCAACGTTTGTAGTGCAGCATCTAACCTCTTCGCGCGAGCTCGTGTTATAGGCCCCAATGGAACCTTCACTTGTTCCACTTGGATAGCTCCCTCGCCCTCATCATTCCCCTCCTCTTGCGAAAGATTTATCCTCAAATCGACCTCATCATCTGCAAGATAGGGACTGAGGTCAGCAACAATAAAGGTAGCTGAGACATTATACTCACTTGGAAGATCGAGCTTGTATGTGTTGTCATTGATGCACACCATAACTTGGAATGGTCCATCTCCACGGGGTAGCAACTTGTTGCGACGCTGGACAGGCAAACGCTCCTTGCGCAGGTGTAACTAGACCCAGTCACCTGGTTCAAACACCACGCGACGCCAACCCTTGTTGGCATGCTAGAGGTATTGTTGGGTGCGAGCTTCAATGTTGGCCTTCACCTGCTGGTGTAAAGCCTGGATAAACTCGGCCTTCTTCTTGCCATCAAGGTTAGTACGGTCGGACAACGGCAAAGGCAACAAATCCAAAGGAGTCAATGGGTTAAAACCGTAAACAATCTCAAATGGAGAAAACTGTGTAGCACTATGAATGGTTCGGTTATAAGCAAACTCAATGTAGAGTAAACACTCCTCCCAAGTTTTGAGATTCTTTTTAATGATGACTCTGAGTAAAGTAGACAATGTGCGATTAATAACCTCAGTTTGGCCATCGATCTGGGGGTGACTGGATGTAGAAAATAGCAACTTGGTTCCCAACTTCCCCCACAAAGTTTTCCAGAAGTAAGAGAGAAACTTGACATCTCTATCAGACACAATTGTCTTAGGCACTTCATACAAATGGACAACTTCCTTAAAGAAGAGATCAGCTATATGAGTAGCATCATCCGTCTTATGACATGGAATGAAATGGGCCATTTTGGAAAATCGGTCAACAATGACAAAGATGCTATCATGGCCTCGTTTACTCCTAGGCAGACCAAGCACAAAGTCCATTGAAATGTCAACCCATGGTTCAGAAAGGATAGGTAGAGGTGTGTACAAACCAAAGGGTTGGAGCTTGGACTTGGCAGGGTGACAGATGATGCAGCGTGACACCATTCGCTCCATGTCCCGTCTCATGCGTAGCCAATAGAAGTGTTCCTGTAAAGCACTCAAAGTCTTGGTGACACCAAAGTGTTCCATCAAACCACCTCTGTGAGCCTCACGGGTTAGTAACTCACGAATAGAACATGATGGAATGCATAATTTATCATGACAATACAGAAACCCATCATGGATGAATAACTTACCCTGACCCGACTTAACACAAGATGCATAGATAGCAGAAAAATCCGAGTCGGTATCATAAAGTTCCTTGATAAGATCAAATCCAAGGAGTTTAGCATCAAGTAAAGTAGTCAAGGCATATCTCCTAGACAGTGCATCGGCAACGACATTGGTCTTGCCAGCTTTGTATTTGATCACATAGGGGAAGGACTCCACAAAATTGACCCACCGGACGTGTCTCTTATTCAACTTTGGTTGAGACTTGAGATGCTTTAGTGCCTCGTGGTCAGTGTGGATGACAAATTCCTTAGGCCTCAGGTAGTGCTGCCATGTCTCTAGTGCACGAATCAAAGCATAGAGCTCCTTGTCGTAGGTGGAGTAGTTCAAGGCGGCACCATTTAACTTCTCGCTAAAGTACGCGATCGGCCTTTCCTCTTGGATCAGCACGGCTCCAATTCCTACACCAGAAGCATCACACTCAACCTCAAAAGCTTTATCAAAACTAGGTAAGGACAATAAGGATGCGTGTGTGAGCTTGTGTTTAAGGAGTTGGAACGCCTTCTCCTGAGCTTCCCCCCATTTGAACTTCACATCCTTCTTGATAATGGCGGTAAGAGGGGCAGCTATAGTGCTGAAATCCTTCACGAACCGGCGATAGAAACTCGCAAGGCCGTGGAAACTCCGAACTTCACTCATGGTCTTGGGTACGGGCCACTCATTGATGGCTTGGACCTTGCTCTCGTCCATTTTAATGCCCTGTGCACTAACCTTATAACCAAGGAAAACAAGCTCATTAGTGCAGAAAGTACATTTGCCAAGATTGACGAATAACCTCTCCCTGCGCAAAACCTCAAGGATAGCTCGTACGCGTGCTACATGTTCCTCAGGACTCTTGCTGTAGATCAGAATATCATCAAAATAAACAACAATAAATTTACCTAAGAAAGGACGAAGCACACGATTCATAAGACGCATAAATGTACTAGGAGCGTTAGTCAAACCAAACGGCATAACTAACCACTCATACAGACCATACTTAGTCTTGAAGGCCGTTTTCCACTCGTCCCCTTCCTTCATTCGAATTTGATGGTAGCCACTCTTAAGATTGATCTTGGTGAATATGACTGCACCATACAATTCTTCAAACAAATCATCTAAACGAGGTATAGGGTGATGATACTTAACTGTGATAGCGTTGACGGCGCGACAGTCCATACACATCCTCCAAGTGCCCTCTTTCTTTGGAACAAGGATGACGGGAACTGTACATGGGCTCATGCTCTCTTGAGCCCAACCTTTCTCTAGGAGCTCATCCACTTGCCTTTGGATCTCCTTAGTCTCTTCAGGACCCATCTTGTAGGCCGGTCTGTTCGGGCTCCAGGGACGAAGTCTATCTGGTGCTCGATCCCTCTGAGTGGGGGAAGTCCACTTGGGATCTCGTCCGGGAAAACATCCTCAAATTCCTGCAACAAGGAAGAGATTTCAGGAGGTAAGTCAGTGAGTGCCTCATGAGAGAGTAGAATCACTTCCTTGCAGTATAAGACATAAACAACTTGCTTGGATAAAAGTAACTTGCAAACTTCCCTGTTCTTTACAAGCAAGCTTGGACGCTTGTCCAGTCGCCTAGAAGTACTAGGTGTGGATATCTGCACGGCTGGTGCTTTAGTGATTGCTTTAGAGTCATTGGATTTCTTGGCCAACTCTCGCTCATGCTCCTGTTGCAATCGCAGTTGGTCTTCATGCACCTGCTGGGATGTGAGAGGCACCAGTGTCATTTTCTTGTTATGGTACAAGAAGGAATACTTGTTGGTGAAGCCATCATACGTAGTCTTCTTGTCATATTGCCATGGCCGTCCCAACAAAATGTGAGAAACTTGCATGGGAACGACGTCGCAAAGAACCTCGTCCTCATACTTCCCGATCCGGAAAAGCACCACCACTTGCTTGGTGACTTTGATATCACCACTCTCGTTGAGCCATTGCAAGCGATATGGGTTGGGGTGCCTCAACATGGGCAAAGAAAGATGGTCCACCATGAGAGTACTTGCCACGTTGGTACAACTACCTGTGTCAATGATGAGGCTACATACTCTTCCCTTGACGTGACATCGTGTGTAGAAGATGTTATCACGTTGGGCCTCATCCACCTTCTTGACTTGTGTTGCAAGAGCTCAACGAGCTACTAGAGCAACACCCACTTGCTCCGTATTGACCTCAACTTCCACCTCGGAATCTTCACCTTCATTAATCAATGGAGGCATCTCAGTGAACTCGTCCTCGTCGTTGGATACGACATCTCCGCTTGGTAAGACAATCATGGTATGCCTATTGGGACACTGGGAAGCAATGTGCCCAAATCCTTGACATTTGAAGCACTTGTCGCGGCTTCGTGGCTTGGAAGAGTCGAATGAAGGTCTTGGAGTTGCCTTTGGGGCTGGCTTGGGTGGCTCGGTCTTAGGAGTAAACTTGGACACCCTTGGACTAGGCCGTCCCCGCTCGAAAGTCGGATTGCCCCTCCACACAGGCATGGCCGAGAAGCTAGGGTTACAAGGGTTACCCTTCCTCTTAAGCCTTCTCTCGATCTTGGATGCCTTGTCAATCAACTCAGGCATGTCCACATAGTTTTGCAACTCCACCAATTCGGCGATTTCAGGTCTCAAGCCGTTAAGGAATCTCGCCATGGTAGCCTCTCTATCCTTCACAATGTCTGCTCGGAGCATGGTGATCTCCATCTCCTCGTAGTAGTCCTCCACACTACGGCTTCCTTGAACTAATGTCTGGAGCCTCTGATATAGATCACGATAGTAGTGGCTGGGTATGAACCGCTTCCTCATGGTGGTTCGTAACTCCTCCCATGTACTAATTGGACATTCTCTATTGCGGCGCCTGCTAGTGCGCTCCTGCTCCCACCAGACAATCGCGTAATCGGTGAATTCGAGGGTTGCCAGTTTGACTTTTTGTTCATCGGTGTAGCCTTGGAAGGAGGGAATTTTGATCTTGATCCCCTTTAGTCCGTCATCCATCCTTCGGTAGTCCTGCTTGGGCCGACAGATGATGTGCGAACCCAGAAAAAAAAAATTTATTTATTTATTTATTATTTTATTCCTGTGCACCGTTTTCTTGTATTTTCTTTACTATATTACTTTTATCAATATTTTATCAGTAAATATAGTTTTTAAATCATTTTTCTAGTATAAGGTAGTTCGTGAGAAATTTGGAACGTATTTTGGACGTGGGACCCGCTAGTGCATTTAGTGAGAGAAATTCGACCAATTCGGTTAAATTGTTCATAAAGGGATTTCATTACTAGGTGTTAGGAGATGATTAGAGGTTACCTAGATGGATTAACTCTGGAGGGACAAGAGGATAACACTAAACAAAACAAGGTGCCACGTGTCCAAATGTGGTTGGACCAAGCTTACCTAACTTTGCCTAACTTTCTTTGTCATTACATAAAAGTCCAAATTTGACCAAAACCTCTTCATTCTTCACCTCCTCATTGCCGAACCTCTCTTGCTAGCAAAGGGAGAAAATTCTTCAACTTCCATCTTCTAATCTTGCTTCAATCTCGAAAATCAACCGATTGTTTCTTGAATTAGTCCGTAAAATCACTTTGCTTGGAGTGTTTGAAGACCTTGGTGGTGTTATTTTGGAAGAAAACTCTCTAAGCTTCAACCTTTCTTGAAGATCTAAGGTATATTGCTTGGAACTCATCTTTTGTTTCTAATTTTGGCCAAATGGTGCCTTATAGTAGCTATATACGTGATTGTACGGAAGATTTGGTGGATTGGAGTGAAGTTTCCTAATTTTCTGATTTTTCTTGGAATTTTTCTGTTTTCATATGATGGATATGATTGGGTTTGATTTGGTGGTTCCAAGTGGTGTTTTATAGCTCACTTGTGCGTTAATTGTAGTTAATTGCGGAAATTGCCGCTTGTGCGAAAAATTTCAGATTTAGGGTTCCAATTGGGGCTTTGCTATGGTTGATTGTTGAGCTTCTAATTGGCTATTATTGAGGGGTATTGTGACCCTAATGAAGTATATTGAATGCCTTATGAATTGTTTGGGTGCTTGTGGTTGTGTTGGATGGTTTTTATTGGTGTCTTGTAGGTTGGAAAAGCAGAAATTTTAGGGGAAATGCTGTCCGAGTGTCTAGGGCATTGGATCCTTGTGAGTTGGGTTGAGATTGACTAGAAATGAATAATTTTAGGGTTGTTTCTACTTTTAACCCTAAATATTATGTATTTTTCATTTCCAAGCTATATTTGGGTTTTACCTTAATAGTTCCTATTAAAAGGTATTCGACTCGTGTTTGAGTCTTAATTGTACTTTCTTGATTATTATAGGGCGTGCCGGTGATCCGAGGCTCACGTCGGGCGAAAACTTGTGAAATTACTTTGTTTGACTTGGTGAGTGTACTACTCACATATTTGTTATTCCGTGGCTTTCTTATACTTGAATTCTGTGTTTTGGACTAGTTGTGATGATTGTTTGGACTAGGTGAGGCGAGGGTGTACTTTACCACTCTCGTACTCTCTGGCCTACTTGTTTGGTTATGATATAACTGGAATACTCTTGACTGTATTTGATTTGGTGTCGCTTGGATGCCGATCCTTAATGTAACTCTGGATCTGTACTGTTTACTTTGAGCTCTACCTCATTGGAAGTCAATGGACTCGAGCCAGTAAGGACTTGGTCGGGGACATTTGACAAGCCATGGGGACTGTATTTGAGAATCTTTGGGTATGAGACCCTAGATTCCGGTTTACTCGAGTAATACCAATTCTGTACTGTGTGGTGTTCGGGCCCGGTAAGGGGAAAGTGAGGTGGACGGATAATTGGAGTAAAGAGGGGTCTACGGTCATGATTACCTGGTATACATTGACGGAGAGTCAATGAGATGAGATCAAGTATGGCAAAAGAGGAAAAGGGCTCTTGAGAGCCATCCGTATCCTTTATTCCTTACATTTGGGTGTTATTGCTTTTACTTACTTGACGAACGTATTTGGACTGAATGCTCTTGAGTTTATGTGATCTTGGTATATGTACGTGACAGTACCTCATTGGGCGAAAGCTCACTTCGTAAATTTTGTTTTCCTTACAGGGAATTATCTTGTGGACTTTTGACTGTGATGAGTAAGTTGAGTGGAGCTAGTTGAGAGATTTTGTATAGCTCCTCAATAGTTGAAACCTTTGTTGTACTTGGATTTAAATGTTTTCTTTTGGCTTGTAACCATACAAAAGTGGTTTGTAATAGGGTGTATTCCTATCCAATGGATTGTACTTGGCTTGTATATACTCTTTTCAGTGATTGTTGGAAATTTCTTGTAATCAATGGGATCTTGGCGGATTGTGACGTGGCAGCCACTATTCGCTTTACGTTTTGCCTTTTGTTTTCCCGTTTCTCATTTATTGGGTTGATTAAGCGCGCCAATATTTTCCCGAACGACTTGAGTTAGTGTTTGACCGTTTTAGTAGTCCTGGCGAGAGTTGGGCAGGCAGTCCGCTAACTCCTTTGGTACGCCTTAGGGGAAGGTGGGGCTGTCACAAGTGGTATCAGAGCATAGGCTAGAAATAACCTGGGCGAATCTAAAACCTGTTTCTTAGAACTCTTGGGGATTGTGTTTAGACACCATTAAGTGTGAAAATATTGTTTAAGCTATAAACCTTTGCTATCTTTGTAGGTTATGGCCGGTACCAGTGGTGCAGGCGGAGGCGAGCCACCTCAGAGGCGGCTCCGAGTCATCGACTATCAGGAGAGACCCGGAGGTCCGATCCGGCTGTGGTATACCGCTAGTCGGACCCGCCGCTATAGGCGTTGCCAGTTTTACTCCTACGCGGACCACGTGGTTGAGGGGGTACTTGCCGAGCGACGGAGGCTGAGATGTGACGCCGCCAGGGAGCGTACTGAGACCCTTAGGCTTAGGGGCATCATGCGGATGCAGGCCGATAGGATTGGAGAGCTCCAGGGGGACGTGGCTATGGAGCAGGAGAGGACGGACGCTCTGCGAGAGCAGTTGCAGGTGGTTAACGACCGCCTTATTCGCGTAGTCCGGGAGGTGAGAGACCGGTCTGGCGCTATTATCGATGAGTGTGGGGCGCTCATCCAGGGAGTGATTGGCGCCAATGCGCCAGGGGGAGTTCCAGGTGGTGGAGCTCCAGGTCAGGGAGGCGCCCCTAGCTCTAGCTCTGGGGGGGAGTCGGTTGGCTCCGTGGAGGACTAGATTAGAGTTTTTGGGCCTAATTTTGATCCCGTGTGAGGGATACCTAGGAAAAGCTTTTGGGTAGTTGTTTTGTACTTTTGAGACCTAGGTTTTATAGTGTATTTTGGCAGACCCTCTTTTGGCTTCACGGGAGTACTTTGTATATATTTGCTTGACTGCTTATGTATGACTGTTTGACACAGTTATGTGTTCCATGTATAAATGTGCTATGTGTATACGTGCCTTATGTGGTGTTTACTTTTAATTTTGTTCATGCTTATATGACTATATTGATATGCCTTTTGATATTAGTTTGTGCCTCGATTTTAGAGTGACCTAGAGAATGGAAGGCACTCGTAGCGGACGAGGCCGCGGGCGTGGGGTTAGGCAACCCACAACTGACGAGGGTATTAGGAATACCACGACTGAATCAAACCCTGAACCTAGGGTTGACCCTAATGCCCAGATAGCCGCTGCTATGCAGCAAATGACTGACCTGTTAGCCCACGTAGTGTAACAGCAGGGCCAACCTCCTATCCAGCAACCTGGGAACCCTGGCCATGTAGTGGAAAGTGAAGATCGGGCCCTGGAGAGATTTCAGAAGTTCTCTCCGCCAAAATTTCTAGGCGGGCCAGATCCGGACGTGGCCGAAAAGTGGTTAGAGAAAATGATAGATATTTTTGCCGCCCTACACTACTCAGAGGAGAGACAGGTTACTTTCGCTGTCTTTCAATTGGAAGGAGCCGCGCGTTCTTGGTGGAATGTGATACGCATGAAATGGGACCGGGAACAAACCCCAAGAACATGGGTAAATTTTGTGAGGGACTTCAACGCAAAATACTTTCCCCCTCTAGTCCAAGAAAAAAGGGAGGACGAGTTTATTAGGCTCCGCCAAGGGACTCAATCAGTGGCTGAGTACGAGAGCCAGTTTACTCGTTTATCCAAGTTTGCCCCTGAACTCATTCTGACGGAGCAAAGGAGAGTTCGGCGTTTTACTCAGGGGCTCAATGTGGAAATTCAAAAGGATCTGGCGGTAGCCCAGATCCACACTTTTAGTGACGCCGTGGAGAAAGCTTTGCGAGTTGAAAATGCAAGGCTTCAAGTAAGGAATTTTCAGGTGAAAAAACGGGGGTTCTCTGCGAGTAGTTCGACCCAAGGGGATAAAGGGACCCCTCCCAAGTTTGGAAGAGGAGCCGGTGGAGGAAGGCAACCGGGGATGACACGAGGGACTCCGCCGAGGGGTGGTCACAATGGACGGGGCCCGCAGAAGAGCACCTCACAAGGAAGTTCGGCCTCAGTTGCACGTGGACCCTGTGGATTTTGTGGAAAACCAAACCACACTGAGGACAACTGTTAGAGGAAGGAGAGAAGATGCTTGCGCTGCGGGAGTGCAGAGCATCAAATAGCTAACTGCCCAGTGTTACCTCGGGAGGCGAGAGCAACCACTCAGTCGTCGAAGGCCAACTCGGGACAGTCCAAGGTAGAAGGGACAAAGCCAAAGGTGCCAGCTCGGGTTTACTCCCTTGAGCAACAACAAGTCCCTGATTCCTCTGGGGTTGTAGAAGGTACGATCCCTGTTTTCCATCGTCTAGCTAGGATTTTGATAGACCCTGGTGCTACCCATTCCTTTGTTAACCCCGATTTTATGTGCGGTATTGATATAAAACCCGTTAGCTTGCCTTATGACTTAGAGGTTAGTACTCCTACGGGGAACCAACATTTGATTACTGGTTTGATGTATGTGAATTGTGAAATATGGGTAGGAGAGAGAAAGCTTTTAGGGAATCTTATAAGTTTGGCCATTAAGGGGTACGACGTTA